GGGGGTCTGCGCCCAGGATCAGACACGCCTGGCGCCTCTACTCCTGTTACCTGGTGCGCTGGAGCAAGGTGGCCTCTCCCTGCGCCCACCCCGTTGAATAGCTGGGTGTCCCCAAGGACATTAATAGCTCTCAGGTGGGCTGGCCAGTGAGAGGGGAATACTGTCCTGCTTGGAAAGGGTTTGTTGGGCCAGGTTTCGAGTTTCCCAAAGATCACCAAGGAGCCAATTCCCATGCAGCACACGAGGGTCTTTACTGCAAGCCCGAGCCTGGGCGTCCAACATGCACTGACAGGCAGTGGCCAAGTTGAGAGCCCCGAGCTCAGGCAAGGCAGGGTTTTTATTGCAGAAGAGGGGAGTTTCAGCTCTGCAGAGGGGAGTTTTAGCTCAGCAGTACATTGATTGGTGGACATTGAACAAAGTTATCTTGTCTTAACCAGGCTGGTCTATGCATGTAAGATGTGACCTTCGCTACTCGCCCGCATACCTTAGGGCATCTGGTGCTTTCCTGCCCTGGACTGGTCACTTGCCTACTTGCTAATTGGCGGTTGCTATGGGATGAGCAAGATGGGACATTGACAGTTAAACTCGGCTGAGGGCCTTGTTGATAACCGAGACTTAGGCCTGGCTGGTTCAGAAGCATTCTGAAGCCTGTCATGGCGTCAGTTTGGTCTTTCAGGTTTTGAAGATAATTCTGCGTAGAGCAGTGTGGCCACTAGTCGGTAGCTGAACACAGGCTAACTGAGCGTCATTAAGTCTTCTCTTTACCAGGACCTCTGTGACAACCCACTGGGCCTCCAGAGAGTGTGAGGTCCCCATGTCTCCCACTTGGGGGCTGGGGTATTTAAATTCGCATTTGAAGGCGTATTTAAAAATAAAAGGTTGCCCAAACCGTGATACCAAAACTATAGCATGCTATATTTTAACTGTTTAAATATATTCACAAATATATAAATATATACAACAAACCACAAAATACCCTGGAACATGACAGCAAGGTTTTCTCGAAGAATATATGACACAGATCTCCGGTCCGGCCCGCAGCACATTTTATTATCACAAGCTTCATGATCAGGAACAGGCTCACTAGAAGGCTGGGTGGGAAGCAGACACCCGGTGCCCTCTGTATGCCATACATAGTGCCATGTGGTCAGCAAGTGCTGTTTCACAGGTGCTACTTGACCCAACAATTGTAGAACAGATTAGGGAACTGAGGCCAAAGACACCCAACCACTTTCCCAGAAGTACAGCAGTTCAATCCTGGCCTGTAATAATTAGAGATCTGCTTAACCACTCCCGCCTGCGTGAAGCATGACAAGGACTTGTTAGTAGTCAGCTGTTCCCCACAATACCTACGTTTGTCATAACTCCATCATTCAGGACAGAAATGTGACTCAGGTATAATAACACACATTCTGCCTTCTCAAAAAAAAAAAAAAAAAGCAAGCTTGATTTTAAAATAAAAGAATAACAGGGCCCTCCCGGGTGGCACAACAGGTTAGGACACAGCACTGCAAGCTGGCCGCAGCCACTTCAGGGCCAGTTCGATCCCTGGCTCTCCTGACCCGCCTGCTGCTCCCCTCAGCGTGTAATTCGTTGATCTGCCTGTTCTGCTACCCATTCTGTCTCTGGTAGAGTCTCTCACCACCCCTGTACCCCAGTTCTGTATGCATCAATAAATAAATCTTTAAAAAAATAAGAATAACACCAATTAATTATCAAGATGCCAATTCTTTTCTAAGGCTTTTAATTGTACTTTGCTATTTATTCCCAGAAAACATTTACTATTTCAAGGTTATTATGAGGAAGCTGAACTGTTGTTTCAAAGATCTGAACCGTCACCCAGCCCTAACATCCACCTTCCAGGAGAGGTACAGCCAGAAGGGTCCACACGGCTGGGTAAGAGTTGCTGGGTGAGCAGCGTTTGGTAGGAGTTCTGAATAAGCTTCAGAGATGCTCTTCTCTACTTTCACTATGAGGCGCGCACAGAAATGAACCCCAGTGAGGGGGCAGAAGTCTGACATTTCTGTTCCCCCGTCCCTCTGGCCCTCACCCAACTCCAGCTGGTTAACAGTGCAAACTGCTGACCCCGCCACGCTTCCGACACCACCCAAGGCACCTTCTGTGCCTCCTATGTCCAATCGTGTTCCCAGAGCTACTGACACGGGCCATTGCTGACTCACATGACAGTAACATTCAGTAAGAGTAAAAGTCAAAAATTAAAAAGCCAGAGGATAAGATAGAAAATAGGGAAGATTTCAATCTGAGTCCCTACAAGTTACAGAAAAAGATCAGAGCTTCAGAGATGAATACCCTAGCAGTCTGATTATTATTTGCAAACACATGAGAAAAACACTTTTCTGTCCCAACTCAGATGACACAAAAGGTAGAGGGAAAAGAATGTTTTGGGGTCCAGGCCACCCCAACAGCCACAAATTGTTATATATAATTTTACCCTCAGTAGATTCATCCTGTTTTAAATCCAGGAATTAAACACCTCATTGACACATTCAATGAGAAGCCTTGATAACAGAGGTCATTTCATGTAATGTATAACTGTTCTTGGGGTTAGGACAGCCGTGACATTTTAAGAGAAAGCAGTGGCCAGGGATGCATCCGAGATCGGCATTTAATATGGTGCATTGTTGATGATGTTCAAGTGCCAATCGTTTCATTTTTGTTTTCCTTCTACCGGAGCCATTTTTGGAAACAGGTTAGAGTCTCTCTGGCCAGATCAACCTGGTAGAGCTGACTTCGTGGCTTCTGGTCGTGAACAGGTCCACACCAGGGTTATTTACATACTGAAAGGAGGAACAATAATACCCTCTGCTGAAACATTAGTCCAGTGGGAGCTCTCAGGTTACTCCCAACACTCAAGTCAGGTGAAGACCGCCTTGCAGAGACTTCCGGATGTGGTTGTAGTAAACACGGACCTTGAGGAGCGGCTGAGGGGGACAGGGGCCGGACTGGCCACCCTGAAAGAGAGGGTCTGGAAGAGCTGACCCTGGAGCAGAGGAGTGCGGTGCATCCAGAAGATGTCCAGAGTCGCCGCCTCTGCCCGGACACCTGGGGCGTGACCTGTGGCCCCGAGAATGCCTGGATGGTTCAAAAAGACATGGTACGGGCTGGCCTCCGTCCTGAGCTTCTCCTCCTTCGTCCTGATCATCGCTGCCCTGGTGGTGCCCCACTGGCTGAGTGGGAAGATCCTGTGTCAGACTGGAGCAGACCTGGTCAACGCCACGGATCCAGAGCTGGTCAAATTCATCGGGGACATTTACTACGGGCTCTTCCGAGGGTGCAAGGTGCGGCAGTGTGGACTCGGGGGCCGCCGGACCCAGTTCACGAGTGAGTATACTTGAGACGGGAAAGCTGCTTGAAACACTTTTTTCACTATGTATGAGTGCTGTGTGTAAATGTGGGATTCAGCTGTTGCTTCAACTAAGGCATAATATCCAAGACCACAGAGAGCCAAAACGGCCTTTTCCTACAAAATCCCAAAGAAACCTTAGAAACAAGGGTAGCTGTTTACTTCTTCCTGATACCCGTTCAGGTCCCAAGTGCTTACCTGTGTCGGACATTCTGGCAAGTGCTTTATGTAGCATGTCTCAATAAAGTCTCACGACAGGGGTGTAGAGAAGGAATCAGAAACGATCCCATTTTGCAGAGGACAACACTGAGGCTTGGAGTGCCTACCTTGCCCCGGTCACCCAGCCAAGAACAGAAGAGCCAGCCTTGAGAGCCAGACTCAGGTCTGGGTGTCCTTGGCACGGCGTGTCTGTGCAGACCACCTGCAGAGATGACAGGCAGCATGCTGATGCTGCTTATGTAAAGCCACTCCTACTAAGGAGAAGCCAGGGCCCTGCCCCTGGGCAGGGCGATCAGACCACCCAGTTTGAGCCGCCTTCTGGTGGGGAGACCCAGGCAAGGCGCTGGACGCTGTCCGGGAACGTGAGCGGGCTCAAGTTCATGCCACTTCTGAGCTGTTTTTCCAGCCAACACCAGGCAGGAATTCAAGCCCAGCTTATGAAGGATCTTCTGGGGAAGAGAAACAAAGCCAGAAAAGCAATAATCTGCAAGCCCCTAGAACCAAGCCACTAGGGGAGTGGCAAGGACAGTGTCCCCATGATCATAATTAGTCCACATCGTGCAAATGCAAAGGACTTTTAGCCACTATTGGATTTCTACAGTTAAGAATAACAGTTGTCAGAAACCTGGCCAGGTTAAGGCTCTTTTGAAGTACATAAAGATTTTCTAGCCGGACTGTTTACAAATAGAATCACACAATTTGGCATCATTTATAGACATGAAAGAAGAACACGTGGTATGTACATTCAGAGGGCATAAAGATCCCTAGAGATATTTGCCAAGAAATTAAACTGGGTGGGATGATACTAGAAAAATAGCTCTATTAAAAGCATAGCGGCGATGAGGTGTGAACTTCTCCACCTAACTCATACCCACTGCTGTAAAACACCTCAATTAAAGAAAATAGAATTTTTAAAATGACATCCACAAGAAGCTGAACATGCACACACAAAGAAGTAAAAGCCAAGGCCATGAGCCCGCTCTGCAGCCTTGCTTCTGAGCCAGCCCTGTTTGCCACGTGGGCCGCCACTGCAGCCACGGAAGGACCCAGAACAGGGTGTCGGGAGGGCGGCAGCCGTGTTCCATGTTCCAGTAATGACCTTGGGGTTGTATTGCGTCTGGCAAGGGGATGTACTTTTTAGAGGAACTCGACCCGAAGGTGCTCAAGATGAGGGCAAATGTACTCGCAGATGGATCCAAAGGAAAAAAAAAAATTCTTTCCTTTGTACCATCCTTGAGATTTTTCTGATATTGGAGAGTGTTACAGAGCTGCCAGGAAAAGACACAATTTCATACACAGTCAAGGGGAATGAACAAAGAACAACTAAGGAAGTCGCAAAGCCTGCAGGAGACATGGACACCACGGGAAGCAGAGATATTCCAAAGACTTGCGTGAGCAAAACAAAGTTAAGGGGACACAGTAAACACAGCCCCTGGAAGACAGCGCATGGGCCATCTCCAAAGCCTGCGGCCGCCTGCACCGTAACGTTCCCTTTCTTCTCTGTTATGCTTTTAGTTACAGTTTGCCTCTGCCCCTTTGGTAGGTCGACATTGAAGCCAAGCATCGGCTTTATTCACCAATGACCCCGGGCCCTGAAAAAATGCCTGACACATAGTAGGTGCTCAAACATATCAGTTGAATGAGTCTCAACAAACTCATTTTCATTCACAAGAGGCCAGACGTGTGGCCTGTGGTGGACCAACCCTCCAGCACCCTGCCAGACAGGGGAGAAAACTGAGGCTCGGAGAGGTCATGCACCTTTGTCCAGGGTCACAAACTCCTGAGTGCCAGACCCCAACCCTGCTCAGCCTGACCCCCCTTGCCCTCCCCACATTCCTCCCTCCAGAATTTGCGATGGACAACTGTCCCTGCAAATCTGGAAATGGGTTCATATCTACATGAGGACACAATGAGTTCCTTTTCAAACTTGTATTATGTGGCTGCACTTAATTTATTAAAAGCCTCATATTGATTCATAATGTGGGCTTTCTGCAATACTGCTACTCTAAAGAAGACCCACTAGTACAGGTGACACACATGCTGTCCCTGAGTGACCGCTGTGGTAGAGGGCCATGCATTCACACCCCGTGGCCAGTGCCTCATCCCTGTCAGCAAAGCCTCTTCCTCCCGCTGCTTGCACAGGTGACTCTTCTCCTGGGGTATCCTGCATGAACAAGAAAGGGGACACAAAGCAAGAGACATAAGCTATCAGGCTTGGAATAACAGGGGAGCATGAGCCTGACGGGGGGGACCCCCCCCCATGACAGAAAGGCAGCACGGAGCGACCTAAGAGACGGCTTTTGCAGGGTGCAGTTTCCATGCTGGAGATCACTGGACAGAGATAAATATGAACGGAAACTCAGGACAGTAAGTTGAGTCAGAGCTAGGATGTAAACGTGGAGTGTCTGGAAACTGTGGAGTGGAAAGGACACTTGAGAGGGAGACGGATCTAGTTCTCAGGCTTGGGAGACCCCGACCTGTGAACAGGAGGAGGCAGGTAAGCTGGCAGAGGTGCCAGCGGGAATGGGGGGGAGTTGTGGGGGGGGGGGAAGGCGTGATCCGAGTCCGCTGGGCAGCTCCTGCCTCTGGAAGCCCCTGCACTTGCTGCCCGCTCCCCGCTCCCACCACCACCCCACCCCCCATGCGGACTCTCCGGGGAAGCAGGTTTGGGCTTGATGAGCCTGACGGGAGCTGTGACTCTGAAACGGCTGTCTGCTCTCCGCAGTCTTCCCACACCTGGTGAGGGAGCTCAACACAGGCCTGCACGTGACCACGCTGCTGCTGCTCCTCTTGGCCCTGGCCCTGGCCCTGGCCAGCATGGGCTTTGCCATTCTTAACCTGATCCAGGTGCCCTACAGGGCGGTCAACGGCCCCGGGGGCATCTGCCTCTGGAACGTCCTGGCAGGTAAGGAGGGGCCGGAGGGAAATGGTGCCCACATTGCACAGGCTGAGTAACAGAAGGGTGAGGGGCCGCCCGCCCCGCCAGACCTCCCTCCCAGGTGCGGAGCGTTTCTAGGCGGCCCCAAACACCGTCCTTATAAAGGACGCAGAGACGGTCACAATAGGCAAATTGTTGAAGCGCCTGCCTGGCTGGGGGCTGAGGGAGGGGTGAGGTGAGCGGCAGGACCTTGAGGCCAAGAAGCTGCTGCTGCCAGGTTGGAGCCCTGCACACATGACAGAAGAGAAGGGACCTGGGACTCACCCAAGCCGCACCAAGGCCCCATGAGGTAGAGCTACTGGCCTGTGTTTACAGATGAGGCACCTGAGGCTCCAGGAAGTCCACAGGCCCCCAGGCTCCCAGCCCTGAGCCCTGAACTGCAGAGATGCGGTCCAGTCCAGGCACAACTGAGGCGAAGTCTTGGGTCTTCTCCCTCACCCCCATCTCACTTATGACCAAGACCTATCTTCCAAGCAGAAAGGGTGTGTGTGTGTGTGTGTGTGTGTGTGTGTGTGTGTGTGTGTGTTAGAGTACACTGATGCAGAGGAATTAATTCACATGTTATTATGTACACTCATCTGTGATGAACACAGCAAGTCCTAGCAAATGAAAGCTGTTTCAGAAAACCCAGGTCAAACAGTCGCTGCACACCACTGACCCCCAACACACACACACACACACACACACACACACGACCTTCACCTTTGAGACCATAAAGAGCAGGGAGTGTGGTCCTATTGGGTGAGACAGCCTAACGGCGTAAGTCAACAACCATGAAGTCACCAGTTTGCAGACCGTGGGCTTCTTAGAATTACTTCTGTCACGTGCCTCACCCCAGCTCGACTGGAGGTGCCGGGTTTCTCTCCACTTGGGACTCCATGGTGACTGGCACGTGGAAAGTGCTGCTCCTGCCTTTTGACCGGATGCTCGGCTCTGTCGCCGCCCTGCCTTGGAGAGCTGGCCTTCCACGCCCACGCCACCGAGAGCATTTTTTTTTAAGATTATTTATTTATTCGTACAGAACTGGGGGTACAGGCCAGAGATGCAGAGGGTGAGAGGCTTCACTAGAGACAGAGTGGGGAGCAGAACAGGCAGATCGACAAAGTACACTGCTGAGGGGAGCAGCGAGCGGGTCAGGAGAGGTCTGCCGCGCCACGTGGTCACCTCCGGGGCAGGCGGGAATCGAACTCATGCGGAAGCGGCTTTAGCTTCTCAGTGCTGTGTTTTAACGCGCTGCGCCACCAGGGAGGGCCGAGGAGAGCATTTTTAAAAGGCACTTTGACAAAAGGTAGTGTCAAGGGGTATAGAAATATGAACGTCCTTGGGTTCAACAATTCAGGAGGGGCTTTTGCTGAGGCGAGAGCTGGGAAGGAACACAAAGACAGATGGAAAAAGACATGCATGCCATGCCTCATACTGCTGGCAAGTCAGAGGCAATCTGGATCACAGGGAAGTTCATTCAAAACTTAATTAGGTGTGCCTCTGGGCCAGAGTGTTCTGCCCCAATTTTTAAAAATCTTTTTAAGGCCCTCCCTGGTGGCGCAGCGGGTTAAAGCACAGCACTGAGAATCTAAAGCCGCTTCCTCATGAGTTCAATTCCCGCCTGCCCCGGAGGTGACCACATGGCGTGGCAGACCTCTCCTGACCCGCCCGCTGCTCCCCTCAGCAGTGTATTTCGTTGATCTGCCTGTTCTGCACTCCACTCTGTCTCTGGTGAATTCTCTCACCCTCCACATCTCTGGCCTGTATCCCAGTTCTGTATGCACAAATAAAATAAAATCATTTAAAAAAAAAATCTTTTAAAAAGACTTATTTATTAATTTATCCATACAAGAATTGGGGTGCAGGCCAGAGATGCCGGGGGTGGGGGGGAGAGGATTCACCAGAGACACAGTGGGGAGCAGAACAGGTGGATCTCCTGAAGTCCACTGCTGAGGGAGCAGCGGGGAGACAGGAGAGGTCTGCTGTGCCCTGGGGGTCACTCCCTGGCTGGGGATGGCCCTCAAGCTACAGGGGCTGCAGACAGCTTCACAGTGCTGCACTTTAACCAATTGAGCCACCAGGGAGGGCTCAGCCCCAGTTTAAAGGGAGCTGAGCCCGAGTGCAAGCTGGCGGAAGCAGGCCCGGTGCTGGGCAGCAAGTCTGAGCAGGTAGGAACAGCAAGAGACTCATTTTGCTCCAAAGAATGGGATGTAAGAAAGACACTAAACTGTCCCAAATGTTTCTGTCTCCTTGTGAGATAAAATAAATTTGTATTTTCATCTTTATGATTCTCTGTGGTGTCCACATTTGCTTCAATGAAGATGTAATAATTTTTTTAAGATTAATCATTTCATAAATGGGAAAGCTGTAGAAAAGCAGGGAGGTGGAGGGAAAGGGAGAGAGAGCCAATGAGAGGACAGAGGCAGAGAACCAGGGAGGAGAAGAGGGAGAGGGAAGAAGGAGATCCCAGAAAGGCAAAGTTTGAGTCCACTGGGGAAGCACGGACCTTTGGGAATCTTCCAATGGTGCCTTCTCTCCTTTCCTCCTCTCCTGCCTCCCTTCTCTCTTCTTACCTTAAAGGTAAGGATGGGAAGAGGCTAACTTAAGGTGGAACCCTCCACCAGCCTGCACGTGAGGGCACCTTCCCTCCCCCACGGAGCCCTCGGGGCCCACACACAGATCCCAGAACAGTCAGAGCCTGGAGACTCAGTGCCCACCTCATGGGCGGGCGGCTCTCTCCACCTGCCCTGCGGCTCACACGCCCCTGCACACGTGTGTCTTCCCAAGAATTGGTTAACTCGCCCAGAGCTTGTTGCCGGAGCCAGAGATATGCTCTGTGGCATGGCTGGGCATGTGGCCTTTGGCGCTGACCCTGAGTCTGGCCTTCTGGGTTCCAGGTGGCGTCGTGGCTCTGGCCATCGCCAGCTTCATGGCCGCGGTGCGGTGGCACGACCTGACAGAGCGCATCGCCAACTTCCAGGAGAGGCTCTTTCGCTTGGTGGTGGTGGAAGAACAGTACGAAGAGTCGTTTTGGATCTGCGTGGCCAGCGCCTCAGCCCACGCCGCCAACCTGGTGGTGGTGGCCATCAGTCAGATTCCCCTCCCAGAGATTCAAACCAAAGTAGAGGAGGCCACGGTCACGGCCGAGGACATCTTGTACTAAGGGTCTTTGCCCTTACACATCCTTTCCTTAATCGGCTCTAATATGTACAGAAACCTATACTTTGGTTTTTGCAGGTTTCATATTCCAGAATGTCCATGTTCTTGGCAGGAGGAAAAAAAAAGAAATGTAAGGAGGAAGGAGGGTGCCTGGTAGATACGACGGCTGGGCCCAACTCCTGGCACCCCACTGCCACTGCCGTGTGCCAACTGGTGCACTTGGTGTCTGCTCAGCGTCCTCTTCTGTAAGATGAACAGTGGGGACCTCGCAGGCTGTCACGAGGCTTAACATTCCCGGCCTTTCATACCAGGGCAGGTACACTCCAGCACGGGGAAGCAAACCTCGCCTATCCCAGGAGCATCTGGGGAACACGAAGGGTGTGACCACACCAGGCCCTCCAGAACACCTACTCTTGCCACAAAACAAAAGACTCAGACAACCACAATGATACCAAGAGTGAAAGTAACTGCCCACTTTTAGAAGGTACCAACCCAGGCACAGTTCTAAGAGTTGTCCGTATATGAACTCATCCTTGCTAACAGCTCAGATTGTCAGTAGGTAGTTTATCCCATCTGAGGGCTGAAGAAACCAGATTGAAAGGTTGGTTATCTGGCCACAGTCAGGAATTAAATCCAGGAAGTCTGGAACCAGAATTTTAGACCTCCATGTAATACTCTTTAGTGCCCCTCATCAGTAGGCAGATGGCCTGTGGCTGGAAGAGGCCACTTTGCTGGTGTGATGTTGGGTGTACAGTCACAAGGCAATGTGATCAAATGTTATAATCATACATGTGTAAAGGCCTGAGGAAGAAATTAACTCTTAAGATGGGATACTGAAGTAAACAAAGTGTCACGGAGTTGACATTGGATCTGAGCGTTGAAAGATGAGCAGACTTTTCCCAGTGGTGAAGGAAACAGGCTGAGGAAAGTCATTCCAGGAGGAGCTCTCCTGTCGGAGGCAGCATGGAATTACCAAGAGGGCTGGGAGCAGGTGAATACCCAGGCAACGAGAAGGTTGCTCCAGGTCACCTGCGAAGGCCTGGGAACTCCAGTTTCCATCTTCATTCTTGACAAATCAACGGGAGAGACAAATGGCATCAGCTAAAAGAACAAACACATTTCATGTCCTCCACTGTCAAGCACTTAATGGAAAAACGGACTTGACTTAATTGTTAAAGTCTTTAATTTTAGAGTTTATCAGAAACATATTCTCTGGGATTTTCTCTGCCTAAAAATTCAGATGTTTATGATGAATGACAGGAAATTTGGTGTCATTTCTGGAAAAGATAATATAGTGAATTACACTGTCATATAATAAGATATTTTTAACAAGAATCCTCTTCTCCCCAAACCCTAACACTTTAAACAGCTTTCAGAGAAGTCACTTTTACATCATAAACATCACTTTAAACACATGACTTAAATGGCTTTTCGTGTACCTACACGATTATGCAATCATCACCACGATTTTAGGACACGTTCACTACCCCAAAGGAAACACATACCTATGAGCTGTCGGCCCCTTTATCCTCCCGCTGTGGGAGAGGATGTCCTGAATGAACTCTACACACACAGGTTTTGTGGGCTCCACCCCCACCCCAGACTCCGAAACACCAAAGGGAGGGCCTCAAGGACCCAGGGTGGTGTTAAGCGCCATCTTGAGATTCTGGGCTATAGAGGGTCTCTCTCTTCCTTGGCCTCGAGGCTGGTGGCTGGTTGCTTAGTTCCCATCAGCTTTCAGTGTGCTATTGGGGTTACCGCTTTCAGTGTGCTATTGGGGTTCCACCTTAGTGGAATTTGTAGGACGATAGTTAACTTGTATCTCTGTGTTTCCCTGGGTTGTTCCTTTTCTTTTCCCCGTGTAAATAAACCCATTATTGACGTTCTGTGTGGGTAACTGTTATACAGCCGAATCTTAAGCGCGCCAGCGAGGACCCACAGACAGGCACTGGGGTGCTCTGTAACACTCCCAGTTCAGCCCAAAGGAACATCCATCTACCTTCTGCTTTGTGGATTTACCTCGCAGGCTAACTCTACAACACGTGCTCCTTGGAGACTGGTCTCCTTCACTCCTTTAGTGACTCAGGGCTCCCATACAATGACTGCCATCAGTGCGTGCCCATCCTACGTGGTATATTACATCCTATACTTATTTTCACTCTTTCTTACATAAAAATATCCAGCTGATCTTTTTTACTTCTACTAGTTACCACCCTTAGGTCTTTTGATGGCCGTATCCGTATGGGACCTCACAGCATCCTGACCGTGGCAATTTCCAGGCCCGACAGTTCAGACAACAGTTCAGACATTCCCACCAGTTGCTGTAACGTCCCACGCATGCCAGGCTTAAAGATGATTCTGCTTACGAAAACGGAGCCAGCAACAGGGGGGCAGATTTCAGTTTATCACCAGAGTTCTTGCCATCAAATTGTAATAGAACTCCTCTATTCAAAACCTGGCATCCTCTAATCCCCCCTCTGCCCATGGCAGTTAGCCAGCTGGTAACACGTTCACCTCCACCCCCACCCTATTAACAAAAGCGTCTTTCTGTGAATATTTTCAACTATCCACTTGGAGGTCTCTGCCCTATCTTCCCATAGATTCCATTTCAGCTTCACTTTTGGTAGATATTTGGGGAGCATTACAATGTATCCAGCCCTGGGCACTGAGCCCCAAAGAAGAATAGGTCATTGTGTAAGCCGTCTGCAGAGAGGAACAAAACCCAAACACTAAGTGATTCTCACATGAATTTGGGGCTGGACAAGCTGATTCCTGACACAGCCTTGTACGGGCAGAGGTGGGGCTCGTGAATAAAATCACTCACAGCATCACATGCTGGCGTGAGGATAAAGGTTCTGACGAAGTGCTGGAATGGGAGAGCTTGTGTGATTTTATTTTCCAGATTAGATGGGAAAGAATACTCCAGTGAAGTTGGGAGCTGGCGAAAATGTGAAGGCCAGCTGCTTCTTGGATGGAGCCCTTGACCAGCTCTACCGGGCAGGATTCTGACCCTAGAAACTCAGAGAACCACAATGCCACCTGGTGGGCGGCCCTTCCCCCCCAGGCCAGGAGACGGAGGGGGTGGGGGAGGGCTGCATCTGCTTTGGGAAAAGTGAAGAGGGTGCAAAAAGGAAATGAACGCAAGCCCCTGTCCCCATGAACTGAGGGTGGCCTCAGTTCAAACGTGCATAAACCTGGAAATACATGCACGACCAGGTGCAGATGGTAAGCAGCAGAGTTGTTTCTGTAAACCGGAAGAAGCACTACCTCCCCCCAGATTGTGCAAACCGCCTGGTCTGGGGCAGCAGACACCTCCCGAGGTGCAGGGAATAGCTTGTTGGGGTGACGAGCCCCCAACATTGGCCTAGACCATCACTTCCTTAGCATACAGTGTCAATCTTCCCAGACTCGGTCATGCCTGTGAGCCTGAGGTGCATGGAGGCACCCAGGCACCCCTGGCTCTGGGGGCCAGGGGCGTCAGCCTGCAGGGGTCAGGAGAGACGCCCACTCACTCCCCATGTGAAGAATGAGGAAGAGGTTGGCAGGGGAGGCAGAGGTCAGGGTGAGGGCACACGTGTAAGCCAAGGCAGGGAGGTGTGAAACCGCAGGTCTGGTCAGGACAGGTTCTGGGGGCTACGGCAAGACAGGGAAGCAGAGAGCAACGCGGCCAGGGCCAGGAGCATCTCCGCTGTCTGTGAGCAACCAGGGCCTGACACAAGAATAAGCAGTAGGGGGCCTCACGAGCCAGACTGGGCCCCTGGGACAGTGAATCGGAAGAGGGGACACAGAGGGGAACGTGTTGCAGAGCGAAGAGCAGAAGGCAGGTGGCTCTCAAGCAGGTCAGAAACAGAACAGGATCATTATGGGCTGGATTGTGAAATACCCAGCACCCCCAGAAATTCCTGCTGCTGAAATCCTGACCCCCGCCCCCAGACCAAGGATGTCTGGAGTGGGTATTTAAAGAGGTGATTCATTTCACATGAGGTCATTAGCAGGGCCCTCACGCAAGACTGTCACGTCCTTTTAAGAAGAAGGTTAGGGGAGAGAGACAGAGGACAGGCCAGGCCAGGGTAGAGACAGCAAGCCAGAGCCAGGCCTCAGAGGAAACCCACCTGCCAGCCCACCTCCGACCTCCAGCCTCTAGAACCGCGAGCATAAACCTGGTGTTAGCCCCATCTCTTTGTGGGGCTGCCCGCAAGCAGCCCTCCAAGTGTGGCCCAGATGTGGGGGAGCAGCGGGGAGATCTCCAAGACTCGCTGGTGGCAGGCGGAGACAGCGGAAGAAGCTCCCTGGAGGCCTCTCGGATTTCTCACTGGATGCCACAGTGACAGCTGTGCTCCGGCTGTCACAGGCCTCCAAAGGGACAGTCGGAGATGAGTGACGGACACGCGAGAACCTGTGGCGGGACCCCCAGGGGAAGAGGCACAGCGGACGGTGCGGGTCTGAGGCACGTCTCGAAGCAGACACGGTGGCTCTGGCCTCAGTTTTCTCAGCTGTAGAGGGAGGGGGGAGAATAATAATCCCTTCCGGCTCTCTGCGAGTTACTAAGGGGTGAAAGGAACAGAGTATATGTAAACATCTTTGAAAATGGTATAAGGCAGGTCACTTTCTTCTTCTTCTTTTTTTAAGATTTATTTATTTATGCATACAGAGCTGGGGTACAGGCCAGAGGTGCAGGGGCAGCGAGAGGATTCACCAGAGACAGAGAGGAGAGCAGAACAGGCCGATGGATGAAGCACACTGTTGAGGGGAGCAGTGGGCAGGTCAGGAGAGGTCTGCCGGTCCACATGGTCACCTCCGGGGCGGGGACTGAACTCGTGCTGAAGTGGCTTTAGCTTAGTGCTGTGCTTTAAACCGCTGCGCCACCAGGGAGGGCCACGGTCACTTTCTTAAAGGAAATTTTAATTACATTTACCTTTTCTGGGACACCAGACGACGATTCAGAAACACTGCTGGGCTCTCTGTTTAAGAGCAATTCGTCTCAAATTGACAAATTATTTTCTAGGCATGAACCACCGACCAGATCTTGGATCTTGGTAGTGAAGTATGCTCCACATCCTTGCTTTCTGCCTTACTTGTCACCAAAGGCTATCATCACATTGTGGCCATTCGCCCTTTCTGGAAACGCACATAGACTGGCTTATAAGGCTGTCTAGTGCGACGAGGTCTGAATTACAACTATAATAATCACATGCATTCCTGTAAGATTTCTTACATTAGAGTTTTGTAAATCAGAGCTAAGTTGTTTCATTGGAAAGAAATGAGACAGGTAATAAGTCGACTGCTGTAGATAATGT